TAAAGATACAAGTAAAAGTCTGCATTGCTGCAGACACGCCAGCGCAATTTTGTAACGCATTCCCATGCTCAGACAGTCACTCCCACACATTTAAGCAAAGGACTTATGTACATTCACAAATGAATGTGAGTTTAAATAGCTGCATTTGTGGTAATAAGAATCCTAATGTGTGGCTGAGCTGGTTACCGGCTATGTGCTCAGGCATAAGCATTGATGGTTTGCAATTGTTGCATTGTTTGAGTAGCTACTTTTTCGCACATTAAAATGGTGAAGTAATAAGATGCCTCACACTTGATTATAAATATGTACGTCAATAAATCCTTATAATATTCTCAAAAGTAAAAGCAGGCTTAACGTTGATCATAGACAAAATTCCCATAGAATTATTTCTTACTGATTGGTGTAGGGCAATTCGAGGGCGAAGCAGATCTTTAATATGTTAATTTTTTTAAATACTCAGTTCAAGAATGCCTAAAGGGGTTCCAAAGGTTTTATGAAAATAGTCGCTCTGCATTTCGCGAATTGCATGACCGGCTATATGAGTCAACAGTTCAACAGAAATTCGAGGACACTGGTTCGTTACAAAACGAGGTATCACCCGTCCGTTTTCGTACAGGTCGTTAGACCGAAAACATCTGCTGTGGAATAAAGTATGGACCAGGCCGCGACAATCTGAATTCATCGTTGTGACCGGCAACTCTTTCTATTAATAAATGAAAATGAAATGAACCAAAACCCTGCCTCCTAAATATGTTTTCCTCAACACATGATTTGGTTATAGTTACGAGTACATTATTTGGTTATAGTTACCAAATATTGTGTTGAGAGAAATATATTGAATATTGAATATATATATGATTGAAGCTTTGGCTTTAATCCCCAGTTCCTTCTGAATATTCTTTTACATGTATAATAAGCCGTGTAGGCTCTCTCAAACCACCTCTCCATATTTGTCTTTCAGCTCAGCTTGGTAATTAATACGACACCCAAGTATTTAGTCTTGGAGGACAATGTGGCAGACGTTCCATTAAGGGAGGGAATCCTGAAATCCCTATGGATGTGCAATAGGACTGCCAAGAATCTTTCATATTTGGTCGCACGAGTATGCACGGAAAGGGTTCGTCACTCGTCCGCAGAGCCGGCATACGTAGAGAAGTCACTTATACCTTCGACCTTGGCCGGGCATCGGAGGGGACCGTTCACGGCCGGCTATTCAGTATACACCCGCTGACCTTTCAGCCATCGGGACGGGTACCTCAACACCTTGGCTTAGAGTGTTGCTGGTGCGGCTATCTCCACATACCCGGGAAGTTTGCTCACATACCAGTTTGGTTTGTTAGCTTCCCTCCCGATTGCAAAGAATATGAAGCTTTCCTCTTAGTTCATCACGATCTGAAAGTTACCTTTGGGGAATTTCCATGTCATAATTTAAGCCCCTTCGCCACGGCAAGACGACCAGCATTGAAGGAGAAAATAAAGGTTATGGTTGGTTGGTAGACGCGTTGCCTGGGTACATTCCCAGGGCCCAATTAGTGCAGAAAGCACCATTTTGATACGCTTTCTCTCGTCAAACCATTTGGATTTTCCAATGAATCTATTTAGATTAGTAATGGTAAATTTGGAACTTTTCCCAAGATTTTGGATGTAAAAACTCCCAAGTGTGCTGGGCACTCGCAAAGATAGTGAAGGACCGTTTAATTATAACTTTTATTTTTTCGCTCAAAATTAATTATTATTATTGAGTTTTATTTTTTTAGTTAAGAATCATGATTATACTAAAAACTCAAAAGCTATACCATCGTGTGATTTCCGGTGTACCTTTCATCAGCTTTGTTTTGCTTCAGTTTAGGTAGTAGTTTAAGTGAAGTGTTTGTTTGTTGCCCGTGTTGCAAAACGTTTTTTTTTTGTTATGTTTTGTTGCAACAGCAGTGGTTGGCAATGCTGGCGCTGCAATTGTAAAATGCGATGCTTTGCCAGCTTTTTATACGTAAAAATAAAATATTTGCATTTTTCACTACATTACGCTCGACGCACGTCAGCATAGCGCATACAATTAGCGCATGCATACATCGAAATACGTGTGAAAACACACACGTCAACGCATGCATACATATATATGTATACATATTTACTCTTATTCGCATGCACGCTTACACAAGCAATTTACCAAATAAAAGGTGTTAATATTTTCTATGCAACACGAACACCAAATGTGCAAGCTGCGGAAAAAAGTGCACAGGCGACTTTTTTGAGGACGCGCATATAGACTCTCGAGCTTAGCTGTACGCAACATTTTTTTATTTATACACACATACAAATATATTACATGCAGTACCCTGTGGGGAAAATCTCTAGTTCTGAACTGGGGCGCTTCTAGTACATTTAGACCCAGTACTGGTTCGCTATAAATCTCTTTTGCATGCAAGCAACTGGCGAATTTAACATGGCGATGTCCTAGGAAGTGTCAATTGCCGCCTGCTGCATCCCTTTTTCGATAGTTTCGAACTAGTCCTAAATTCTATAGTTTCGAACCAGTTCTGAAATCGACAGGCGAAAGAAAAAAGTATCATGATTTTTCAATCTTTTTAGTTCTTCCATGTGTGCGATTTTAAGTTATCTTGGAAGAAATGTGTTTTCAATTTGAAATTAAATTTGTTTGAATGATTGTAAGAAATGTACGTTTACATACCTTTAGCTGTAGCTGAGTTTGCAGAGGTGCTCGCTGTTATTTCTTAGATTCCAGACGGTCCCAATGTTAACACAAATTTTAGTTTTGTATTACCAAGCTATGAAAAAGCATCTGCGAAACGCAGAATAGAAGCGTATTTGAACGAAAAAGCCGCCGAACACATATCTGTGTAAAGTAAACAAGCCCCCCGCTGCATCCCTTATTCGATAGTTCCGAACTTGTTCTAAATTCGACAAATAAGATCTAGTTCGTTCTGCATCCATTTTTCTATAGTTCCCAACCATTTCTAAACTCGTCACTTTAGATATCGCTTTCTAGTGAAAAAAACTGAAAAAATTAGTCTTTTAAAAGTACCACTTTTCGCTGATTTTGGACTGGTGGGGATCTAGTTCATATCGGACTAGTTCCTTTTGGCGATAAAGACCTAGTACGGAACTAGAAATTTGATTCACTAGTCCGCGGTGTCCCTGCAGGGGTATTATTTGGATACATTGACTGTATGTATGTACATGGCCGCACATACACGTTTACTAACACACACACACATGCTATTCAAAGTCCTTGCACTCAATTTTGTAGTTGTTGAATGCTTAATGGAAAACATTTAATACTCTTTAAATTAATTTTTTTTTTTTAATTGTAAATTTAGTAAATACGTTTTATTGAGTGGCCAGCAAATAAATTTAATAAAATACCTAACTAAATTAACATTTTCAATCAAACGTATTAAAATGTGTATATACTATATACACATATATTGGTTAAAAAAAATTATAGAAAATACGGCATTGATTATGTATGCATGTAAATACATATGTTGTTTTCGAGGAAGCAAGGAGGAAATGTGTTATTTAATATTTTGGTCATGGAGGCGAATCAAATTGTTAAAGTATGCCCAAGTGATGGACAAAATAGTTTTTACAAAATACTAACAGCCGATTTCACCAGCAATTTAAATGGAAAATGATTTTTTATTTTATTTCAATTTACATATAAAATTCAAAAATTTAAATTAATTTTTAAATTAAATTGCTTTTGTGAAATTCTAATCTCTAAAAATGGTTCTTCTGCACGCGGTCCTTCCATTTTGTTCGTTGGTACCCTTGATTTGATTGACCAAGCCAGCACAACCGCTATACGTTAATGCGCTTTACTACGTTCATTTCGTAAAAAAGCTCATGGTTCGTCATTACAGTTACTCCGGCACCTGTCGTCCATACAAACAGGGTCATAGATTTTGCGTGAAAAACTTTCCTCCAAAGGTCCCCAAAGCCTACTGATCTTTTTTCGATATCGTCTATTTTACCGCACCATATAAATGTCCTTGAATCACAAGAAACTTGTAGAGCGTAATATTTGTTCATCAGGAGAGGGTTCTGCTTTTAACTTGCCTACCGATCCTAAGGTACTACCTGTTGGCAAGGGTGTTCTTCGCTTAATATTCGTTCTGAGATTATTGGTGGTGTCTATTTTGGATACGAGGCGGACAGGGTCCTACACCACTTCGAAGTTATAATTGGCAAAAGTGACGTGTGTCCCAAAACTCGAGACATTTTATGTGTTATGTAGTTTGTCTCGTCCTCTCTCAGCTCGCCTAGCGCTCTTTCCATTATTTTTCTTAGCTGGAAAATGCTGCGCTGTATACGCTAGCAACATAGTTCTTTTGATTTATATAGTGCTGTTTTGATAACTTTCATACATTCACTGAAAATGCAGGGAACTGCTATTTCGCCGGCTGTTAGCTGCTCAAACGGTATTCTGTCGACATTGGGGACCTTATTGTTTTTAAAGGCGATTTATTGCTATGCTTACCTCATCTTGCAAAAAATTCCATATCTCTATACCATTTCAACACCTGGATAGATATATTGGCCATCTCTTGGTCCTACTTATACCAAAATACAAAAAGCACACAGCATAAGTGGTAGTAAAATGCGATATGCGGATAATAGTCGATATAGAAACGAATTTACGGTGCACTAGAAATGGGCTGCATTGGTTTAGTCACGACTAACAAAGGAAAATTGGTGGAATGCTAAGCGGTAGTGCTGGGAGAATCGGTGCATACCAGTACGGTAGAAGGTTAAGGGGTTTTAGTCTCACTCTGAGTAAATTTTTCTACAAATATTTTTCCTACCATCAACAGTTCTTAGAAATAAGTGGTGGATAAATAATAAACAACTAATTTCCATAGTGACAATCACCTTGCCAACAAGCACACCCATAAACTGTTTACTTTGCAAACAAAACTTTTTGAAATGCGCCAATTTTAAATGGCTTAGTACCGTAGTGCCGTAGTCAACCCTGAGCAATGAAGCATATCAGTCAGCTCGAAAATTTTGTGCATCCGCCCTTAGAAGGCAAGGAAGTGAAGAATATCCTTCTGTCTGCTGTATATAATGACGCATCCGCGAAATTGCGCATCTATCAGCGTAGTCAAATGATAAATGCTACACGCTTCATGCCTAAAAAGCCTGTAACCAAATGTCATCAGAGCTCACGCCGCAGCTCTACAAAAGTGACCAGCCAAGCTATTTACGGCGAAGAAAATGTGCCTAACGAAAGAATACTAAACGAAATAAAACTCGATCAGGAGTTGACATTGCTTCGTAAAATTTATGCCATAGCGCTCTCTGAACTCGACTACTCCTCGGAGAGCACTACTGACGCTACGGAAACGCAAACGGAAACGGAAACGGATGCGCCGAAGGCGAGCAGACCACATGCCCAATTATACGCTGCTATTGAAGCACAACGGCCAGACAAGAACGAGGTAGAGCAAGCGCTAAGTACGCTAGAAGCCAACAAAGCAACACTCAAAGCGTTGAAATCGCAATTGGCTGAGGAGCATAAAGCGGCGGAGGATAAACTGGCCGAACAAGACGAGTGCATTGCTACGCTGCGTCATAATTTACGTAATGTGCGTCTACTCAACGATCTGGAGTTGCGTTTGGTACAACGTTGGGAGGAGAACCGCTACACACAAGCGAGCATTGTGGGAGCGAATGAGGAACGGACATTGCAGCAGCAAATTGACGGATTGCGCCAACGTATGGCTGACGAGGAGCGCATCATTGCCGCAGTGGATAGGTTTAGTGTGAAACAGTTTGCTGAATTGAATGCGAGTATTGTCGCTTGGCAAACGAAGTATGCGCGTGTGTGGGAGATCAAATGCGACGAGATACAAGCAAAAGAACGTCAAATACAGCAACTACAAAAGTCGTTCGAACGCCACCGGGAGACTTATGCCGCGCGTAAGCAATTTGTGCACGACTATTTGTCTGAAAAGGAAGTGGAGCGGCAGTTGTACGAGCAACAAATCTATCGTGTGCAATGCGCTGTACGGATACAGGCGTGGTGGCGTGGTTTGATGGTGCGTCGCGGTCTGGGGCCGTTCAAGAAAAAATCGAAAAAGGGCAAGAAGGGAAAGGGCAAAGCTAAGTAATGCTGTAGCTAAATGGGATATAAAGAAATTATTAACATTTCTGAAAAAATATAAAAACAGTTTAATTTTATAAGAAAACGTTTTTAAATGTTGGTAGTGTGTAACTACTTAAATACACTTTTGTATTCATTTTGCTATGTATACATCTAACGTACGTCTAACTTTTAATAAAATAATGAGTATAAAGCTGTAGTGCAATTTTTAAAGAGCATAAATAGGATTAACCGATTTAGCTTCAATTGAATAAATAGATATCCCTATAAGGGCTACCTACAGATATGCGTGAATTAAAATAAAATAATAGGGTAAAAATAAATGACTTTATAACCTTTTTGAAAACAAGAATGAATATAACACAATCTATATCTATTTATATAACAAAACCGTTAATGCTTTTGTGCGCGCATCACATTAAAACTACTTAACTCATTTAAACGAATTTTTTAAGGATAGTAGGAAAGTACACAGAGAAGGTTTTCTGTATATACATTTTATTGCAATAGGTCAGATCTGTTGAAAATTAGAGGACATTATATCTCATTTGTTCGCCAGGCAAAAACTCGAAAGCGGCTTGAGCGGTTTGAATACTATTTTTATGATTAAATGGGCTAGAAAGTAGAAAATAATATTTTCTATACCCATAGAAATTTTCTCGAAAAGTTTTGAATTTAAATACACATGTATATACACTTTCAGTACGCCCACGTGTACAGACAGATATGTATGTATTACTATTTGGGTCTTTACTTTTGCCTGCTATTATTAGCACATTCAAGTATTCTCAATTTACTACTCTATATATATATATGTACATTATACATATGTATGTAAGTATATCATGTCAAGTATCACTTTGCCAATTGGCAATTTTCTTTACAAATGTCGTTGATTGGCATGAAATTCGAGTGTAAATTATCCAGAGCCATATGAAGTTGTGCGCTGAAAGTATAAAAAAGTGACAAATGCGGTGGAAAAAAACCGTAAGAATAAAACGAGAAATGAAACGATGAGAATTTTTATACACAGATAGAAAGAAATGTATGTATGTAGAATAAAAAAAGTAGCAAATCTTCATTTGACATATTCAACACGACTAGAATTCCAGATTCATTTAACATCGCCTTTTTTACTTATGTACATACTAGGGATATTTCGAATGTAATATTTTTCACATTCGCGAATGCAAATTTTACGAATGCGAATGCGAATGTTAGGAATAACATTAAAAAAGCTATAATCAATTTAAGTCATCATTTTTATTACTTAAAAATTTTTATAAATTATTGAACCATTGAACGAGTGCTTAACCTATACAGTGTTTTAGTTTAGGAGTAAAAATTCAAAAGGGACATATTATATTTAAAAAAAAAAGTCGTTTAGCACTGAACAATTGCTCACTCGGAACGCTGGCGGCTGAAGCGCTCAAATATTTGCGGGCCAGATCTGTAAATTTGTCGTATTTTAGTTTACTTTTCCACCAATAGAGCGGATTTTCACCGAGATGAGCTCGTTTTTCTTTAAGATAGGCCTTTAATTGAGCTTTAAATTCACATGTTTTTTAATGTCTACAGATTCTACACACGAGCCTTCGTTTTCGCTGGAGGAATCTAAAATTATTTCTAGATTTATTCTTTCATAACGAATGCGAATGGAAATATTCGCAACATCCCTGTTACATACATATATGAGAAGCATTGAAACTGAACAAACAATGTCTATCTACGGCATGTAATTGAAATTACTTTTTTATTTGTAGCATACTTACATATGTATTTTATCTGTCTTCTTACAAACTCACTGCACATAAAAAAAAAAAAAAATCGGTGTTGTGTTTCCATTGGAATTATAAAATCTATAATATTTAACGACAGCCACCAAAATATTTCGGAAAAATATTAAGATTTACGTGAGCTGGACCGATTTGAAAATACCTCCAAAAATGGAGAGCAGCATCCTAATTTGTGGTTCCAACAAGATGAAGGGACTGCGCACACTGCTAGGCAAACTATGCATCCATGAACTATGGATGGTAGGTATTATTTTGCAGACCATGTACTATCAAAATAATAATGGTTAAGGCTGAAAATTAGTGAGTGCAGCACCAGTATATCCCTCTTAAAGCCGCCGCTGTGGAGAGTTATAAAAAAAATTTCTAATGTATGGAAAGTTTCTCTTATCTTTGGCTTTTAGCTTTTGGTAAAAAAGCTTTGTAAATAAATACAGTAATGATTTATGGCAAAGTCGATTAATTCAGCTGAGTACCCCTAAGCTACCTATCTATGTATGTATACAATTATAGTGAACAACTCTGAATCGATACCAAAGACGGCAAAGTTATCAAAAAGAAAAACTCTGAAAGGGTAAAGCTGCTATTTATGTACATTTGAATAATGTATGCAAGTTGAATGTGTATGTGTTTTGTTTTTTCCAAAACAAATACCAATGAAAGAATTTATATGCGCAATTGAGAATCAATTCAAACTTGATTTATAACCCTCGCCAACACCACTGGCAAACCTCAACCGAATACTTGTCAAAACTTTTCAAACCACACACAGGAAATACATAAACATTCATACCTAGTACATATGTATGTATGTATATCCCTAAGCCCACAAAGTATGTTAACTGCTTCCTTCTGCATTTTATTTTCACAACAACCAACTTTTTTGTGATAGATCTGGATTATTATGCTTCAAATTGAGTTATCAAGTTTATTTTTGTTTTTGTGTGGATATATACATACATCCATACTATGTATGTACATACGCGCAAAGAAATTATCCTAAAAGTGTATACAGTCCCAGCTAGTTGATCAGCTAAAGGACTTCTTTTTAGATTTGCGGAGTATTTTATTTGCTCTAGCATCATATGTTATTTATATTCATATGAAGCTACTTAGATTTGTATGTACATGCGTTTTTGTTCTTGTTTTTATGCAGCCCACTTGTTTTTACGAAATTGAATTCATACATGCATAAAACATAACATAAAATTGTCAAACCCATTTCATGTCAACGAAATTAATTCGAGCGAAGCGGTATGAAAACCGAAAAATATTGAAAACTGAAATTGTGTATCTGCATATTTTAGTGCAATAAAAAATCTTGTAGGATATGTGGAAATCATCCGCAATCAGCTTAAGATTTATGTACATATGTATGTACGTGTTTATGTATGCATGCGAATGCGGTCGGAGAGTTAAAAATAAATATTACGCATTTACGTATTCGTATAAGAATAAACTTAAACAGCCCTGGATAGTATTGGTCAAATTAATCCCCAACCCTTTCAAAGATTAAAGAATTCCCTGCATGTTTTAATGTATAATAGCTTAGCAGCTATACACTATCAAATCAGCTTCAAATTTTCAAATATTTTTCTGCTTTTAATAGACAAAATTGCTGAAAATTGATTTTAATCAACATTGTTGTTGTGGAATTCCTTTTATTTCTTCAAAGTTTTCGGGAAAAAAGGCTACAAATGTAGACTATGAAGGGTGAGCTACCAAGGGGGTTAAAGTAGTGGCATATGCTGACGATGTAGTGATAGCAGGCCCTTTCCTTTCAACTGTAAGTGAAATCTTAGAAGGGGCACTGGGTAAACTACTATCGCATACTATGCTTGTCTTCAGTAGAAACTGAGAATTAAAGCCGAAATTTGTGATGTGGATGTACATCGCTATCATACGGCGCCCTAGTTTGGTGGTCAGCTCTTAAGGATTTATGTATAGACGACACATATTTAGATGTGGATTTTAACAAATTTTTGTACATACAGTACAAGCCGCTGAAGTACTTAGTCTTAGGCGGGTTGGGTACTTAAAAGAATCCGCTTAAGTACCTCGATGCGGGTATTAAAGCGAACATATTTATTGATGTAGTTACATCTTCTTGTTAACTTACATAAGTAAATTCTTGAATAAAACATGAACATTTAATGAAGGTTACGTAGTTATAAACCAAAATCGTAGCATTATTAAATAGATAAAGCAATATTATGTAATTTTTACAAGTATTCCATTCTTTACATTTTAATTAGTTTTTACAAGAATTCAATTCTTCACACCATGCCACAGTCAATTTTACACATAAAAAATTTTATTCATTCGCGAAACCATGGGCCACATATAGTAAAACTGCATTTTTTAGTTTTTCTCTCTGATGTCATGATTTTTTTTTGAAGGACTTTGAAATTAGAAAAATATAATTATTTCAATATATTATTAAAAAAATTCAGTGCAATGTCGAACATTATGACTATCAAACCAAAAAGAAAATTCTGTAGAATTAAGGCCGATTAAATTTGTTGGTGCATATGCACGATTAGATTTAGAAAATGTCCTTTACATTTTATCATTAAATATCCTTGAAATTTTACAACAAATATTTTCGTAAAAATTATATGTTAAGGATTAATATGCACTCGACCACATCCTCGAACTTCGCACTTCTAACTTTATTCGCTTAAAAAATAAAACTAATTAAAGGACATTTACAATACCTATTCGTCCTTGTGAACCAACAAATTTTAATTTTTTTAAATTCTACATAGTTTTGTATTTCGTTTGGTGCCCATACTGTTTTTCTACATTGGAATGCATTTTTTAAATAATTTTTGGAACTAATTATATCTTCGAGACTGCAAAGTCCTTTTACAAAGAGAGAAAAACTAAAAATACCACAGTTTCGTGAGTATACTCATTGCTTCGTGTGTTTCGAAATTTGTTGCTTTTGTCGCATGGTGTTATACTTACTTACACTTATGTTTATTTTTTTATAACAACACAATTTATTCCCTAACAAATACCATATAAATCTAAGCTTAAAATTTTGCAGAACACTGAAAAAAAAATTCATCAAATTTTCATAAAAATTCCAAACTGTTTTGGGTACACAGCTTTATAGTTTTAATGCAATAATGTGCAAGTTTCAAGTGGCTAAAAATTGCCGTGGATATTTAAGCATTTCTTATGTCTAAATTAGGGCTGTTCAGGATGT